GGTCGTAGCCAGCCCCTCCCCCGTTCCTCCGAGGCCGAAGCCCCCCCTTCCCCGGGGCAGAGGGGCTGCAGAGAGGGGGACCCCCGGCTCCCCCCCCCTCTGGTTGCAGAGGGAGGGAGGGTCTTCCTTGGGGCCCCTCCGCCTGGGTGGGTAGATGGGACCCTGGATAGGAGCCCCCTCCGGGTCAGTTTCTGGCCCCAGGGAAGCAGGAGGGGCTGCGAGGGGGTCCTTAACTGCCTCCCCTGGGAAAACAGGAAAGGTGGGTCCCCCCCTCCCCTCCCCAGGCCAGATGTAGACCTGTATGAGGGGGGGGGAGGGGGAGATTTTCATACTGAGCAATATTTCCCCTGCAAGCGGACTCTTCATCCCCAGAATTGTGGTTCAGGGGTGCTGGTTGTCTGAAAAGGCAGGCAGAGGGTGCTACCACATAACCTTGTTGTTTTGTTGTTGTTGTTGTTGTTATTTTGGTTTGACTTTGGCCCACTTAACAGCAGGCTGAGGGAGCTTCTTGAGGGAGCCCCGCTGGCTTCTGGGGCTGCCCTTCCTGGTTTCCCAACTTTGTCCCACAAAGGCAGCAGCCGCCTATGGTGGAAACTGTTGCTGCTGCTGCTGTTACGTAATGAACCCATCGGCCTGGGTGATCCCCAAAGATTTCTCAGCTCATCTCAGCCTCCCTTCTGCCTTCTACCTTTGGTGGCGTTTTCTGGGTAGAGCTAGAAAATACCTTTCCCTGCAAACTTATGGGGGGGGGGGAAACAGCTCTTGGAATGACTTGCCCTCCTCTGAACCCCCCTCAGCAGTGAATTTTGCCTCCCTCGATGGAAATAAAGTAGGGAAGGGCTGATTGACCCCAGAAAGTTGATGAGGAGTTGTGGGGAATATTTTGCTCTTGGCTGAATTTATTCAGGTAACAACAGTCCAGATGTAAGTGAATGTAGTTGCTTGACTCGGCTAGTAACTCCAGGAGTGGCTTCTGAGCTGAACTGTTTGATTCCTTTTATCTGTGAGACACACACACAATTCACACAGCATTCATGAAATTCTGGCGTTAGGAGTTGAATCTTAAGTGGTAGAGGAGAAAGTCTGTGTTTATTAAGGAAGGGTCAAGCGTATATCAATACTTACGTTTTCTATCATGCTTAAGAAGAATTGCTTTTCTTTTTTGCAATGGCCTGTTGGCAAAAGACGAAATAGGAATGGAAGGAAGCAGCAGCTTTCATTCCCTTGCAAACTCTCCCCACCAACCACCCCTTTTTTCCTGTCCTGCCTTGTGCTCTGAGGGAGCCCCACAGAGCCCACTGGCCCCAAAAGTTGGAGGGCCCAACATTAAGCCAAAACAAAATTAAATAGAGCACTTTGTGCATCGGGGCCATGGAGCTTTCCCAGCAGCCCCCATTCACACCTCGGTTTGAATGGTGGTTATAATAGGTAACACAACATGCCATGTATCCATATGTTATTCACAGACTATCTTCCCCTGCCATCTGAGGCCAAAAGCCAACCAGTGGCTTAATGCAATGTGTGAATGCACTTCTTCACAATTGCTTTTGTCTAGTAGTTTGATGTTTAGTCTCTAGACTGATCTGCTCTTGGTGCTAATTGCTCACAGTTTTCCATTTTAACCATACAAGCCAGTTCTGTGCACACAATCCACTGAAGACTCTAGCCAAGTGGCTTATGATCAAATTATGGCAATAGAAGAAGAAGAAGTTGCTTTAAGAAGAACAAAAGATTGTAAAAGATTACATTGGATTTTTAAAAAATGACCACTAAAATATCTTTTTTCAGATTTCATTTCAGTTCAAGGAAGTATTTATCTTTCTATCTACAACAGAGTCCAGCTTACTTCCATAGATCCTGCAAGGGCAGTTTTAAGACAAATGGTAATTGTTTTGGGGTTTTACAAAGAAATCTGCTGCTGGATCCATTCTGCTGGATTTTTTACTTGTTTCATTAAATGGGAAAGTACTTTAAATTCACATGCCTTCTGACAAGAAGGGCGGATAACAAATTTCCCTTTTTTCGGTGAATGACGGGGCGAGGGGCATGTGCAGAGTGCCATCCTCCCCCCCCTTCCCGTCCCTCATTGCTTGCTCCCACGTGCCAAGAATTCCACCACTTCCTGGCAGGAGGAGGAGGAGGAGGAGGAGGAGGAGGAGGAGGAGGA